CATCGAAATAATCATTTTAGACCCAACAAAGTATATATATTCTTGATCAGCGTGAAATTCTAAGATGAATTAAGATAGGAAGCTAAAATTTTGCACAGATCTCTCTTTTGTCTGCAGGCAGGTCAAGTTCGAAGATGGGCTATTTCGGTCCACGATATCGTATAGCCCCCATATAACAGTACCCCCGATATTCGATATTTTGATGATTTTAGCCACATTTTTCAACGGAATGGTCTGAAAATCCACACAAGGACTTCCTGGTGAGTACTTTATTCCTTGAAAGAGAATTATCTATATAGGTCCACGATATCGAAAAACCCCAATATAACGGTACCCCCGATATTCGATATTTTGATGATTTTAGACACATTTTTCAATTGAATTCCACACAAGGAGTCCCTTACGAGTATTTCACCCCATGAAAAAGAATTTTCTATATAGGTCCACGATATCGTATATCCCCCATATAACGGTACCCCCCGATATTCGGTATTTTGATGACTTTATCACATTTTTCAACGGAATTGTCTGATAATCCACACAAGGAGTTCATTGTGAGTACTTTACTACCTGAAAGAGAGTTGTCTTTATAGGTCCACGATATCGTATATACCCCATATAACGGTACCCTCCGATATTCGGTATTTTAAAAATTTTAACAGAATTTTCATCTGTTTTCAAATTTTTTGAAGAGCTTTCGAAACGTGGATTTTTTAGAGAGTCTGCAAGACGTGGATTTTTAGAGGGGACGTTGGTTTTTAAAAGAATATTTATTGAAGATACTATTAGCCGTGGGGTTTTAAGGAATATTTTTTAAAGAGCCTACAAGACGTGGATTTTTGAGGAATATTTTTGAAGAAAGTTCAAAAATTTTTATTCGTAGAAATTCTAATTTCGATAAAAAAAATCGTTGTTATATTTACACAATTTAATAAACTATAAATTATTTTGGAAGAGAAAAGATTACACGAATGACGTAAAAAAATATTTAAAGTATTCGTATCAGAAGATAATGGTTTAAGAAAAGGGTTTAGGTGGTCCTTATGGCGACCTTGACGACTTTTTTAAAAAAGATACTGTTTCAATATACTAACCTTTTATTTTTCCTACAAAGGAAATTTTGATGTCGAAAAAACTGCTTAAAGCCATTAGAGGACTCCACAAAATAATAATCACGAATTCCATCACAGCCCAAAATGGATAGACTTTCTCATATTCAGCCGAATTTTTCCATTTGGTAAAACTCGGTCCGGCTAACATTACTAACAGCAATGTTATTTGATTCACAGTTGGTATAATCTACTTTACATAAATTCCCAACATAAACTTTTTCGTTTCGGGTGCTCTGCTAATAGTGGTGTAGGGTATCATATGGTCGGCCCCGCCCGACTTTTGACCTTTCTATACTGTTTTTTTTTTTTATAAAACTTGTAAACTTTTATAATTTGGACAAAAGTGGTGACATAGAGACAGTCTTCCTAGAGGTTAATATAGTAATTTGTGTAGCCAAAAATGGAAAAAATATGGAATTTTGCACATACAACCAAATTAGGCCTAAAAATAAGTATGCTAAATTTGATTGAATCGGTTCAGATATAGCTATAGCTCCCATATATATTGTTCATCCGATTTGTTATTTCTGTCCTCCGCAGCCGTAATATGCATTCCGTAACAACAATATTTGAGGAAATATATCAAATGCAGCTCAGAAATACCTTTGCTAAATTTTATCGAGATCGGTTCAGATTTGGATATAGCTCCCATATATAACTTAGTCCGATTTACCTTTTATTGGGCACCAAACGTCTACCATATATAACTTCATCCGATTCACTTTTGATTGTGCACCAAATGTCTAATATTTGCCCAAATAGGATAAAAGTTGGCACTTACGGCCGAATTGAGTCTAGAAGCCAGTATTTCAAATTTGATGAGGATCGGTTCAGATAGAGCTATAGTTCCCATATATAATGTTCATCCGATTTGTTATATTTATTACCCACAGCCGTAATATGCATTCCGTAACAACAATATACAGGGAAATATATCAAATACAGCTCAGAAATATCTTTGCCAAATTTTATCGAGATCGGTTCCGATTTGGATATAGCTCCCATATATATTTTTATCCGATTTCAAAATAATTGTGCACCAAATGGGTAATACAAGTCCGAATTTAAAAGATACAAATACTTCGGCATATTTAGTCCTTTGAACTTTAAATTATAATTATAATCATAGCGTGTATGATTGAATTCTCCCATAAAAACTTTTAATTGTTATGCGGAGCTCTACTAAATTAGCAAAGTGGTGTAGGGTATCATAAAGTCGGCCCCGCCCGACTTTAAGACTTTCTTTACTGGTTTCTTTATGATAACGAAAAAAATTGCAAACATACCAGATTCTTGCATCTTCTGGAACAGAGCATATATGAGTGGATAAATAATTAATAATTTCGGTGTTGCCAAAATAGCATAGTTCCGCCATAAAGAAATATTTGATTTATTTTATTTATTTATTTTTTTAGGAAAAATACATTTACCAAATGTTTGTTGACTGGGTTCTTCTTCATTCGTTTGCTATGAAAAAAAAGAAATATATATATATATATTTCAGTACATTTTACATGTTTGTTTGGACTTATCTACTGACATAGCTGGGCAAACCAAAGCAGCAGAGCAGTTGGCAAATATATGATTATTTTTATCTAGAATTTTGTTCTATTTGGTTTGCTATTCTATGAGATTTGGTAAAGTTTTTCAATTGCAAATAGCTGCAAGTAACCCAAATTTATATGCATAGAAAATGTTAAAAATACACACACACACAAACGGACGAACAAAAATATAAATCCGGACGGACGCTAGGAAGGATTTGCAAGGCAAAACAGCATTCAAACCGAAACAACCAACCGCATCCACAGTGTCTGTCAAGCCAAGATAAAGAATTGCCAAAGAAGTGCAAAGGAATTGAAAGGAACAAATGCTGCTGTTTGTTTTCATTGAAATTGAAAAAAGTATTTGTCCAGCAAATACATACATAAGCAACCTTAGATTTGTGTGTGTGAGTGTTGTGTTGGAGATTTTAGTTTTAAGAACTTGAAATTTGCTTTTCGATATTTACTTCAAAAGTATTACCCTTAAACTTTTGGCATGGATACAAATTTCGTTTCTAATTGGCAAAATATTTGTTTAAATGGGATTTTATAATGTCAGGTAGTAATTATAAAATCAGAATCTTCTCTTATCACAGGATACTGCATGCACACATACCTGCATAATATTTACATGAAATATGTTCTAAATCTGCACACAATTTAACATTTTCGTTATTAAATGCAAGGATTATAGGATCCATATGAAGTAATAGATCAAGAGTGTTGTCAGATGGCTTAGAACACTTTACAACTTGAGCGTCGGATGGTTCTACGATACCAATGTGTTTTGGAAGAGTATGTTTTTGTAATGGTGTCCGAATTCTAATTGTAAATTTAAATAAACAAAATAAGATTCCAAATATTTTTATGTTATCAATAAGAATTAGGTTCATTACAAGAACAAGTAAAACACAAGTTAGCTATAGTTGAGCGGGGCCGACCATATGATGCCCTACAACACTACAATATGTTTGAAGCCCCCTTACGTTCAAATCCATTTTGGAAGATTTCGCACTCCGTCGTGCTGCTAGTTGTTGTGGTCTATTTTACAGCTAAAAATAATCGAATGGTCATTTAAAATTCTAGTCCTTAACTCTCTTCTCATGCAAAATTCCGTGAGGATTGGTTTCAATTGTGTGATGAAATACATATTTTGCGATCATGTCCAAAAGCAAGAAGCCCCTCTATGTCTCCAAATAAAGACTCAAATCTAGGGTGAGATGAAAAAACTGCAACCAACTTCAGACTGCAGTCATTTCTAAGTCCCTCGTCCGACAGCTGGTAAAATTATTCCAGTCACAGCTCATTATATTGCTTACAAGCGCACAAATCATTTTGGTGAGAATTTTCCAGAAAAAAAGTTATTCGTGATGAAATTCAAGCGTGATCGTCTGATATCTTTATTTGGCTGGAAAACCACAAGTGGCTATTGCTAGAGCATTCCAGTATTTAAATGTGAATACATTTTTGTGTCTCGTACCATCGCTCGTTACCGTGGTACTGGTAGCGTAGCCCGACGTCAAGGTAGAGGAAAACAGCAACATCAGCAGAAATGGTTCGAAAAGTAAAGAATCGATTTGATCGAAACCCGCTTCGCAGTGGCCAAAAAATGGCTTGTGAGCGGAACATATCGCAATATTCCATTCGGCAAATATTGAAAAATGAGCTCGAGATTAAGCCATTGAAATTTCAAAAAGTGCTAGAATGTACACCGCAGCAGAAAGAAAATAGACTCAAAAGAGCTAAAGAGTTGCTTCCCTTGGCCGAAAGTGGTGAATTGCTGAATTTGGTTTTCTCCAATGCGAATACATTCGTTGTCCAGCAGTTTGTAAACAAACAAAATGATCGTGTTTACTTGTCAAAGAGGCCAGCTGAAAATATGCACCTTCGGCTGACCACCAGAACTCAAGCGCTGGTCATGGTGATTGTGTGGGCCGTTATAACATCCGATGTTCGCTCACCGCTCGTATTAGTGGCATCAGAATAATGCCACCAAAATCTCCGGATACCAATCCGTTGGGCTATTGTAACTGGAGTATTTTGGGAAAGCAAGCTTGACTCTAAAAAATACCAAAGTGTCGATCACCTCAAGCAAGCGCTTCGCCGGGAATGGGCAAAAATACCAAAGAGAAACATTCGGGCTGCGTGTGACGGTTTCATTGGCCGTTTGAAGACCATTATTCGTGTCAAAGGTGAAAATTCTATTTCCGATATTTTTTGTTTTCATTAATTAAAATTAAAAAAAATAAAAAAAATATATAAAAATTATGGCATTTGACTTTGTTGCGGTTTTTTTATCTCACCCTGTATATACCATAAACATGAAACCAAATTAAACACTTACCTAATAGATTGAAGGACTAGCGTTATAATTCTGTAAGAAAAAGAGAAACATATATTTTAAATAAATGTTTAAAAATAATTGAAACAGGCAAATAATTGTTATTTTCTTAATTATGTGTATGTCAGTCATGCTTTAACTTAATAGCTTTAAGCCATAATTTGACTATTAAATTTAAAATCACTTGTTTGCCTAATTCCATTCAGAAAGACAAGTCAACTTTAATCTCTAATCTTATCAAACCACAATGACAGCAAATGTGAAGATGTCTTGCCGTTCGTGTGCAAGAACCGCTAATTCTGCACCCAGAACAAATGATTATTATAATTAATCTTTGTCACATTGATCTGGACAATTTATCCATTGTTACGATTGTCGGTGGCAGCCACAGGCTATGTTGGCGCCCATCTGACGTTGCCCGCAAGCAGACGTGCATTGTCGTCAGGCGGACATGACAATTTAATCAGAATGACTATTTGCACATAAATAATCGCTAACGCCCGTAATAAAGGCAATTGAATAGTAAATTAATGATCTATCGTTCGATAAATGCACGTACACACGCACCGGATGTTCGTCAGTTCGCCTTTGAAATATCCAAAGTCTGAGTGAGGGCACACACACACAACGTTCTATGTTGAGAATCTAGTGCACAATGGGTTGTCCTAAAATAATATCAAATAAGTTTTGAGATTTTTGACTTTTTATAATGTATTTTTTATAAAATATGTTTTATTTTCTCTTTTATTGCTGTAAACCAAATATTGAAAATTTGTAGTGGCTCAAGCATACAAATGTTGGGGAGTTTACGCAACAGGAGAGAGTCAAAAGTTCATTTGTGTCGAAATATTTGTAATACACTAAATGAAAAATCATAGACCTAATTTTAATTTTATATTTTAATTTAAGCCCATCCTATCGCAAAGGCTACATCTTTACAGTTTGGCGTGTGGATTATTTTCTGAGTGGAGGCATTAAATAAGACTGGGTTTGCGGAAATGCGGGTACTAAAAGTTGCTACATGGTACTTAGCGAACGGATAATGCTAGGATTTTTGGAATGAGGGTCAGTGTTGGCGTGCCGAATTTTTAATACCCTCCACCTTTAGGTAAAGAAAATAATAATTATATAAAAGTATATAAGCTACAATTAAAAGTAAAGTAAGTGAGGCCGTTGTATAGGGGTCATACCAAAATGGGAACCTCTATTGACAATTTTATTCTTCAAGGATTGTCATCTATTAAATCTTCTTAAATATCAAATGTGAAACAATTTCGTGGGTCAATGTGACTAGGATTATAAAAATACCGAATGTCGGTGGGTATCGTTATATGTGCGCTATACAAAAAACGTGGAGCTATTTAAACTATGTTCCGCCACCAGAGCTTAAACGCATTACGAACTGCAAAAACGAATTTTTAGACAAATCTGTGAAAAAATGTGGCCAAAATCATCAAAATGCAGACTATGAGGAGGTACTCTTAAATGGGGCTATACAAAAACGTAGACCTATATAAACCATGTGCCGCCACCAGAGCTTAAACCCATTACGAACTATAAATACCAATTTTTAGACGAAGACGTGGAAAAAAGGAAAATATCATCAAAGTACTGAATATCGGAATGTATCCTTATATGGGGCTATACAGTAATATGGACCTATACATACAATGTTTCGCCAACGAATCTGTGTAATCTGAAAAAAATACAAAAATCAGGTACCGTTACTTGACGATTATACCAAAACGGACCGATATATCTCATTTTCAATACAGGATGGCTTTTACGAAATACAAATTGCTGTGCCAAATTTTGAAGCTCTACGTCAAACAATGTGGGTCGTATCCAGATTTCAACATACAGATGGACGGACAGATAAGCAGTCATCGTTAAATCGACTCAGAATTTTATGCTGATTATGAATATATACAGGGTGAGATGAAAAAACTGCAACCAACTTCAGACTGCAGTCATTTCTAAGTCACTCGTCCGGCAGATGTTAAAATTATTCCAGTGACAGTTCATTATATTGTTCACAAGTGTACAGAAGCATTTTAGTGAGAATTATCCAAAAAAAAAAAAAACTTTTCATGATGGAATTCAAGCGTGATAGTTTGATTTCTTTATATTTGGCTGGAAAACCACAAGTGGCTATCGTTATAGCATTCCAGTATTTAAATGTGAATAAATTTTTTGAATCTCGCACCATCACTCTTTACCGTGATACTGGTAGCGTAGCCCGACGTCAAGGAAGTGGACGGAAGAAAACAGCAACATCAGCAGATATGGTTCGAATAGTAAAGAAGCGACTTGATCGAAACCCGCATCGCAGTGGCCGAAAAATGGCTCTAGAGCTGAACATATCGCAATATTCCATTCGGCAAATGTTGAAACATGAGCTCGGGGTAAAGCCAATGAAATTCCAAAAAGTGCACGAACTTACACCGCAACAGACAGAAAATAGAATCAAAAGAGCTAAAGAGTTGCTTCGCTTGGCCGAAAGTGGTTCTCTGCCGAATTTGGTTTTCTCCTATGTTGTCTAGCTGTTTGTAGACAAACAAAATGATCGTGTTTACATGCCAAAGAAGTCAGCTGAAAATGTGGACCTTCGGTTGGCCACCAGAACTCAAGCGCCGGCCATGGTGATGGTGTGGGCCGCCATAACAGCCGATACTCGCTCTCCGCTCGTATTAATCGACCGTGGCATAGAATAAATGCCGAATACTATCGCAAAAATATTCTGGAGGGTGTATTAAAACCTTGGGCACGCAAACATTTTGGCCGCAGACCTTGGATATTCCATGGTAACAAAATGAGGTTCTTCGCTTCATTTCCAGAGCACAATGGCCACCAAATTCTCGGGATACCAATCCGTTCGACTATTGTGTCTGGAATATTTTGGAAAGCAAGGTTGGCACTAAAGAATACCGAAGTATCGATAACCTCAAGCAAGCGCTTCGCCGTGAATGGGCGAAAATACCGCGGAGCTGCATTCGGCAGCGTGTGACGGTTTCATTGGCCGTTTGAAGGCCATAATTCGTGTCAAAGGTGACCAAGTTGAACAAATCTAAACTTGTTATAAAATTCAATAAAATCCAAAAAATGTAAAAATTATGGCGTTTGACTTTGTTGCTATTTTGTTATCTCAGCCTGTGGGCCCAAGTGGGCATCGCAAAATCGACTCAGAATTTTATGCTTATTATGAATATATACACTTTATGGGGTCTACGACGAATATTTAGTGAGAGTAAGAAGTTAATATACCCTCCTTTTCAAGGTGGAGTGTATAACAAATAGTAGATATTATATCTTTAATATTTAAATTTATACGTATGGACTTACAGTACAAATGAATATTCACCCCCAAAAGAAAATTAATGATAAAAGATAGTTTTGATTCAAATATTTATCAGACATTGCGTGCGTCTGTGTTATTAACCTTAAAAATATGCTGCTAACGACACACGCATAAATATTTTCTCTTATCTGGCCAATCTACCATTCGCACAAAGCTTCCTCTAAATATTCTTCTTGACTTTTGTCCATTTATACAGGTGGGTAAATTGGTTCAACTCCTTTGTGTCGGACATACGTAATGTACGCCCCATCCCGGAATGTCTGTGGTCAATGTAAGTCGTGACACAGGGATGGACAGCTAAATTGTAAATTATCACAACAATTTGTCAAAGACGAATGCTTTATGATTTGTGTCGAAAGACACAAATGTACGACAACTTTATCTACATAGAAGTTATCTGTTGTTCAGGCTATACGACAATGCAGGAACGAACGCACGCACGCACATTCCTGCCTAATTGAAGTTTTGATTAATATGATGTAATCAAAATGTGCTTAAATGCAAAAATAAACAAATGGAAAATTATTCAAATATAGTCCGGAAAATTTGCATTTCAAGCAGCTTTAATTTCTTTCTTTCGCATTTTAAGGTTAAGCAATATCACTTGAGAAGGTCAGCAAGGGTAGGTATACAAATGCTATTAAACTGAGGGTTGTGAGGTAATTTAATTAATTCAATTTCATCATATATGTACTTAAAATTCAACGTTTTTAGTCGAAAAGTTCTGAACAAATTTATGCATATTTTTAGCGTATCATGTGTTGCCTTTATGTTTCCAAATATCTAATTCCATAGCGTATAAGGACATGCAATTTTACAAAGGAAGATATTTAAAAACAAACCATACGGACATTGGTCAGCCTGTAGACGCTCAACACTTTTCACATAGTGGCAAAAGCAGCAAAGGTTAATATAAACCATCAGTTATATTTTTCAATTTTAAGCGGATAGTGGGAAGCTCGCTGTCGGTTTGATATTTTCGGTTTGTAGATCAAAACCTTAAAACTATTTTAGGTTCTCAGGATAAACTTTAGCGGCCTCAATTACCATGGGGATCCCAATAAGTTATGTAAAGCTTTGAATGTTTTAGAGAGCTTTGGGTAACTTCAAGAACGATTGTCAGTCCGTCCGGCCGTTCGTTCATGTATTCTTGTGAACAAAATGCAGGTCGCATTTATTATCCGATTGAGATGAACTTTGGCAAACAATATTTATTTGACTCAAGGACGAACCTTAGTGAAATTGGTGATAATCGAATCAGATCTAGATATAGCCGTCTTCAACCGATTTCGGGTTAATTTGCACCAAATGTCTAATATAAGTCGGTTCAGATATAGCTATAGCTCCCATATGCATGTTTCATACGATTTGGGGTTTTAAGACCCTCACATTCGTAATATGCATTCGACAACAATGATATTTGGTACCAGATATATTATAGAGCTCGGAAATACCTTTGCCAAATTTTATCAAAGACGTAAAATGGTAAAGACTAGACAAAATGCATTCTGAGCAAATGGTTTGTGGCTATACTACCTTGAATAACAGCTCATGACAGAGGCATGTTAATATAAAAAACACAATTATAGGAAAGAATGACAAATAAAATGTTGGATTATCCAAACTATTGGTTTCAAATTTCTATTCCATATACCTTCCCAAATAATTGCATACT